CCAGGGGGGTTTGAGGGGGTCCTTGCCTTCCCTAGGAGGGAATGAGAGGCTGCACTCTTTCTTCCAAAGTCCTGGGGTGCCCCTGGCTTGGGCAAGTCCCTCCTTCTGCAGGGCTGTAGTGGGACTTCCAAGCGGGGTGCCACACGGTGGGGGCTCGGTGCAGCCACCCAGGGTGACCACGGGCCGGGATCCCCTCTCCCCCGCAGCGCCCACCGGCCCCACATGTGCAGCCTCACGCCAGGCCGCCTGCGGTGCCGCCTGCATCCCCGTTCCCTGGCTCTGCGACGGCGAGCAGCAGTGTCCCGACGGCACGGACGAGCAGTGCGGTGAGTGGGGGGAAGCTGGCACCCGTGCTTTCTTGTGGAGTGGCCTGGGGGAGTCTGTGCTGCGTGGGCATCGAGGGATTCGGATGCTTTGGGGGGGGGGGGGGGAGACAGAGGCACCTCACCACATGCGTGAAAAACTGCATGGCACCTGCGTGCCCCAGAGCTCTTGGGGGATGTCTGTGGCATGGGGACATATCCTGGACCTTAAGCTGAGTGAAGCAGCCCCCCCCATCTGTCAGAGAGCCTTACTGAGGGCTGCCAGGGGCCAGACCCTTGGCAGAGCCCCTTGGGCATTGCTGAACCTGTGCCAAGGCAGAAGGGACCCTTGTGCCAGAGGGGTAGGTCCCAGTGACCACACGCTGTCCCTGCAGATGTTGCCTGTGGCGGGGACCCCCATGTTTGGCAGTGTGATGATGGCAGGTGCGTTTCCAGCAGCTGGCGTTGCGATGGTGCTGCTGACTGCCCAGATGGCTCCGATGAGCAGGACTGTGGTGCGTAGCCTCTGCGGGGGGTGGTGGAGCTGAACGAGAGTGAGGGGGGCACAGGGCAGGGTGCAAGAGCTGCTCTGTTCCCTCAGTGTGCGGGGAAAAGAAAGTGCAGTGTCCTGGCACCCACCACTGCATCCCGCACTGGGAGCTGTGCGATCGGCACCAGGACTGTGAGGACGGCTGGGATGAGGAGGGGTGTCCCCAGCAGCCCTGTCTGCCCGGGCAGTGGCAGTGCAGGAACAGGGTGTGCATCATGGCCGAGTGGAAGTGCAACGGGGTTGATGACTGCGGCGATTCCTCGGATGAAGATGTCTGTGGTAAGCAGGCACCCTGGGTGCTCCTCAATGGGGTGAGACCTGTCTGGGCCACGTGTGAAGTAGGGGGATCCTTCACCTTCCTGGGCCTCGGCTTCCCTGGGCATATTGGCAAACATCCCAGGAACCTACTGATACTTTGTGGGGTCTCCCCATGACTCTGAGGCCCACTGCTTCCTCTGTGCCCCCCCTGGTTTTGGTCTACCCCCCTGACATGAGCTGTGTGTGCCACAGCCCCGTGCCCACGTGGCATGGAGCGGTGCGATGAAGGAAAATGCATCCTGGAGTCCCTGATGTGCAATGACGAGGATGACTGCCTAGACGGCACTGACGAGCCCAGCACGTGTGGTGAGTTGTGTGCGGCTGCTGGCAACTACCTGCATGGTTGGGTAAAGCCACAGAGTGGTCCCATGTCACATCACCCCTCCATCACGTCACCCCTCCACTGTGCTCCCCGCAGGTCGGAGCTGCTTTGTGCGCAACGGGGGCTGCGCGGAGACGTGCACCGACACACACTGGGGCGTGCAGTGCTCCTGCGGGGCCGGATGGGTGCTACAGGCGAACGGGCAGGGCTGTGCTGGTAAGGAGAGGTCGGGATGGGGGACACACAAGGCCTTGGCCACCAAGGTTGAGGTCTCCCCGGAGGCAACCCTTTGCGGGAACGCCTGCCTCAGCCCCGCTCCTGCCTGTGTGTCACGCCTGCCCCCACAAAGGCTGTGTCTGGGTCATGTCCCAGAAGCAGCTGGTGCATTTTGGGGTTGGTACTTAGGCTGTGGTATCCAGGGAGCCTGTTCTGTGGTCCCTGGTGAGTGGTGGCACCCTGCAAGGGGCTCCTGACATTGTCTATCCCCACAGATGTGGACGAGTGCTCCCTGGAGTACAGCCCCTGCAGCCAGCTCTGCAGCAACACCCCGGGTGCCTTCAGCTGCAGCTGCTTCCAGGGCTACACCCTGCGGCATGGCACCACCTGCGAAGTGGCAGGTAGGGTTTGCTGGGGACCTCGGGCTGTCTGAGAGGCTGGGCAGTGCCCCCTGCTCACTGAGTGACATCCCCCTTTCCCCGGCAGACAACGCAACACAGATCCTGGTGGCTGTGGGGGAGGACCTGGCCCTTCTGGATGTGCGGACCCAAGCCTACCGGCCCTTGCTCTCCACCGAGACCGAACCCCGTGCCCTGGTGTACGATCTGTTCCGGGAGACCTACTACTGGCTGACGGAGGAGGGCGAGCTCCGTGTTCGCCTCCCGGGGAAGGGCACACGGCCCCTCTATGCAGGTGGGGAGGAGCAAGAATGCTGGGTGCCATAGCAGGGCTGAGATGGGTGCTGGGAGCTGCCACCCCAGCCCTGCCTTTTCCACAGAGGAAAGGACAACCTGCGTTTTTTCTCCTGTTGGTGTGCCTTAAACTGCTCTGTCCTTGCAGATGCCGGGGAGGTGAACAGCATCTCTGTGGACTGGTTCACAGGGCAGCTGTACTGGGCCAGCAGCCTCCCTACAGCTATCTGTGCGGGGCTGAGTGATGGCCGGGGCTATGTGACAGTGCTGGGGAAGGACGTGGTGCCAGAGCAGGTGACAGTGCATCCAGCTGCAAGGTGAGGAGCGAGACAGGGTTGTTCCTGGGTTCCTGGGTGAGCGATGCTGGTGCTGACCATGTCACGGCGGCTGTGACAGCACTGGTGTTACGCTGTGAAGTGGGTGCTTAGTGCCTCTGTCCCCAGGTCCCTGTACTGGGTCAACCGCGGGCAGAGGGGCCGGACAGTCATTGCCGCAGCCGGCATGGATGGCTCCAACCGGCGGGAGCTCACAGTGGTGTCCATGGAGGAGCCTGTGGGGCTGAGCCTGGACCATGTGGCTGGCAGGCTGTACTGGATCAGCGAGTACAAAGAGGTAGGGGTGTGGGGCAGCAGGGCTCTGCCCCACCAGGCGCTGGGAGGCAATGAGGCAGGAGCAGGGAGGGCGGCTCTGGTTCCCCTGTGGCTATGGCCAAGGCAGGGAGTGTTCCCCAGGTCTGGCACACATCCCAGGGCTGGGAGGGGGAAGGCACTTCTGTGAGCCCTGTGGCTGCAGGACAGTGCATGGTCCCCATGCCTTGCCTCGTCCCTAGTCCATTGAGACGCTGCGGGTGGATGGCAGCGGGCGCCACTCCTTTCCCGCTGTCCGGCGGAGCCACACGGAGCCTCTGGGCCTGGCCGTGTTCGAGAGTCGCTTCTTCTGGACTGATGGCACAGAGCTGGTGTCGGCCACCCGGGCCTCTCCCCAGGAGCACGCAGTGCTGCTCCGTGCCCCCGTCACGGCGTTCACTGTGCTGCACGTCCTGCACCAGCCTCCCCGTGAGTATCCTGCAGCACCCCCACCACTTCATGGGTGCCAGGGGAGGCTGCACTTAGGTCGATTGGGGGAGTCATGGCTGCCTGAGCACTTAATGTCCCCTTGCTCCCAGGGGACACTGCTGCGTGTGCTCCAGGCCTGTGCAGTCACCTTTGCCTCCTGTCTCCTGTGCACCCTCGGGGCTACAAGTGTGCGTGTCCAGAGGGGCTCTTTCTCCTGCCCTCAGGGAAGTGTGCAGGTGAGCAGGGTCTGCGAGGTGGGCATGGCTGTCGGGCAGGATGCATCCCTGTGGGAGTCGGAGCAAGAGGGCTGTAAATGGGCTTTGGTGGGATGAGGTTCCCAGCACACACCAGTGCTGTTCTATTTCTGCCTTGGTTCATGCTGGTGACCCTATTTGTTGTCACCAGGGCCATGCTCATGCACTGCCTTTGTACCCCGCAGAGCTGTCCATCGCGTATGCGTCGGGGAAAGCCATCTCCCTGGTGCGGGTGGGCCCTGGAGCACACAGCAAACTGGTGCAGGAGTGGCAGGGGGCCCCCTTCCACCTGCAAGACGTGGACTGGCACCGGTCGATGCTCTATGGGACAGATGACCGTGGGACACTGCTGCGTGTCGTGGGGCACCCTGGCAAGAGAGAGACCATTGTGACTGGGCTGCCAAGTAAGACCCTGTGGGGTGATGGAGGGCGTACTACCCATCCTGATGCTCCCTCAGGATCTCCTCAGCACAAAGCACAGTAGTCCCATGGTGCCCATACTGGGACTGTGCTGAGGTTTTAGGGGTGGGGGGACCCAGGTGGAGCAGCAGGGTCATGGGACAGCCCCATAACTGTTTGCCTGCCTGCTCTTGCCAAGTCTGCTCTGCCCGTGTGGACATCCGCGTGGGGGACCTGTACTGGCTCGCATGTAACCGGAGGGACATCGGGGTGATCCAGGTGTCTGACATGTCCCCGCGCATCCTGCACCGTGCCCGCAGCAGCATCCAGCACCTCTTTTTGGACTGGCAGCGGGGTGCTCTGTACTGGGCAGCCCCTGCAGCAGCTGAGCCTGGCAGAGGGTGTCCCACGGGATGCCTGGAATGAGACGTGGCCTGGAGACCTGCCTGCGGCCATGGATAGCAGAGCCTTCAGCTTGCTCTGGAGCTCAGCCCCAGGTAAGCCCTGGTGGTATCTGGAGCCATGGTCCCTGCATGGGCAGTGTGAGGCTCATAGGGCAGACTCTGTCCCATGGCTGAGCCCCTGGCCTCCACCATAAGGTTTCTGCCATAGCTGTGGGTTGTGGGGGGACAGGGTGGGTCACAAGGAATGCTTGTGGGCCCCAGGATGCTACCATCCCTCTGCCTCACAGGCCTGCGAGCACTGAGTCTGACCAAGCGGCAAGCGGTCACCCTGGCACCCAGCTGGTCCCACAGCCTTCTGGCTGCCTTTGAGCCTTACCTGGTGACAGCAAATGGGACAGCTCTGCTGTTGTGGGACCGGAGGACGCTGGCCCCTATGCTGGCCGTGCCGGCAGCTGATGTACAGGGAGTGGTGGCCTTCGTGGCCTCAGAGCTGCAGGCTGGTAAGTAGCCATGGTTCTGTGCCTGATGCTGTATCTGATGGGGCCGGGTGGTCTGTGCTGCTCTGACCTGGGGCAGGGTGCCTGGCTGCTGGTGGCTATGTGGGGTGCTCTGCTCATGGAGGTGCCCAGAGCGTGGGGAGGGCACAGCCCCAAATCCAGGCTCATGTTGCTGTGCCTTTGCCAGTGCCACCAAGCAAGGGGACTGCCCCACCGCTCTCTCCACGTGTGATCACCACTACAAGGACAACCACAAGCACCACTACTGCTCAGCCCACCACCTTCACCACAAGACCTACACCAAGCAAGACCACCACTACACTCACCACTACTCCTGCACCAACCAGCAAGGCTACCACAACACCAACCACCGCCAGCCAATCCACATCAACCAAGACCACCTCTGTGCCAACCACTGCCCGGACCACACCAGCCAAGACCACCACTGTGCAACCAGCCACAACCAGTTCCTCCACCACCCGCTCCACCACCAGAACCACTCGGTCTTTGCCAACCAAGACCACTGCCCCACGGCCAACTACCACCACCCAACGCTCATCCAGCCCTGCACGTGCTCCGACTCCAGTCCGCCATCTGTCCTGTCCTCGCACACATGTGCTCTGCCGTGATGGCACTGAGTGCGTGGCCCAGGAGTACGTGTGTGATGGGGAGAAGGACTGTGCAGATGGCTCTGATGAGGATGGGTGTGCCCAGCTCTGTGATACCCCAGGTAGGAGCCATTCCCATGGGTCATCCTGCGCTAGGGCTTCTGGCTGCATCTTGGGGCGTGCTCCAGGCTTGTCGCTGTAGTGTAGGGCCACTCTAGGTCACTGGGGGGCTAGCAGAGGGTCTGGGCACCCTGGCTGCCTACTGCAGGCTGAGCAAGGCTCCTTATCTCTCCAGGGGCCTTCCACTGTGCAAACGGAGCTACGTGTGTCAAGGCTGAGGAGCACTGCGATGGGGTGCCGCAGTGCCCCGATGCTTCAGATGAGGCGGGCTGCTGGAGTCCCACGCAGGAATGTGCCCTGCGCTGTGATGCTGCCAGCCGCTGTGTCCCCGAGAGCTGGCTGTGCGATGGTCACGCTGACTGCCTGGACCACACTGATGAGCAGGGCTGCGGTGAGGCCCTGGGGCTGGGTGGGACGGGTGCTTCTAGGGGTCCCCTGGTTGCCCTGTGGGTCCAGGAGTAGGCACTGCCCAGGGCAACCTGCCCAGTGGCTAGAAGGGTCATACCCTGCTCAGTGCCATCCCTGCCCTGGTGGGATGGGGACAGGGACAGGGTCAATACCCCCGCTCAGCCCTTACTCTACCTGCAGTGCCGAAGGAGTGTGGCCCAGCCGAATTCTCCTGCCGGAGTGGGCAGTGTGTGGCCCTGGCCCTGCGCTGTGACGGTGACCGTGACTGCCGGGATGGCTCAGATGAGGAGGGCTGTGCCGTGCCCCGGCCACTGCTGTGCCGCACGGGCGAGGTGGCGTGTCCCCACAGTGGGGAGTGCGTGCCCGAGGCCTGGCGCTGTGACGGCACCACTGACTGCAGGGATGGCACAGACGAGCAGGTGGGTGGGGTGGTGGGAACACAGCCTTGTTCCCACTTGCTCCCAGCAGGGCTGGTGGTACTCCTCACCCTCTGCTATTGCAGGGCTGTCCCTCGGAGTGGGGACCGGCAGTGGGGCTGCTCCCATGGCCACCAGTGCATCCCTGATGTCTGGCGCTGCGATGGGGAGAGTGACTGCAGGGATGGCAGTGATGAGGCTGGCTGTAAGCAGCACCCTACTTTTATCCCTTCTGTCTCATCCAGGGGTGGTTGGTGGTGGGTGAGCAGGTGTCTGTGCCAAGGGGAGAAGTCCTGTGTGCTGGTTGCTTCTCCACAGCATCTGTGGTGGCTCCAGACCTGGAGTCTGTGGTTGCTGTTGTGGTAGGGCTGGTGGCCTTGGGGTTAGGATGGCCTGAAGCCAGGCTGGAGGTGCAGCTCTGGATGTCGCTGCAGTGAGCCCTGGGCGCTCTGTGGAAGCAGCTGAATCTGCCCCCTAAGCCAAAGGAGCTGGTGGATGAGGCTCAGGGCAGCCTTCCCCACATGTCCCTGCAGGCCAACCTGCTCCCTGCCAGAGCCACGAGTACTCATGTGGGCTGGGGGTCTGCCTGAATGCATCCCGGGTGTGCGACGGCCAGCAGGACTGCATGGACAGCTTGGACGAGGGGGGAAACTGCTCTGTGCCCTGCCAGTGGCCCTGTGCTCATCTCTGCTACCCCTCGCCCCAGGGCCCTGTGAGTGCCGGGAGCTGTGGCCTAGGGGTTTATCCTGCCATGCCGCCTGGGTCCATCTGCAGGAGGGAGCCTTGTGTGTCCCCAAGGATGGACTCTGATGGCCCTTTTCCCCGTAGCGGTGCTGGTGTGACCTGGGCTATCAGCTGGCCAATGACAGTCTGTCCTGCATGGACATAAATGAGTGCATGGAGTGGGGCTTGGAAGCCTGCAGCCAGACGTGCATCAATACCCCAGGATCCTACAGCTGTGGCTGTCTCCTTGGCTACTTGCTGGAGCCTGATGGCCATGTCTGCAAACTCAGTGGTAAGCCCTGGGCTGGCCAAGCAGCGTTGAGGGTCCCTGGCTGGGGAACGTGCTGTGTGGTAGGACTGAGTTCCATCAGGCTCCAAAGCCTGCGTGTGCTGGGGTGATGGGGCCACCAGCGCTGAGCAGGGTCTGTGTGGCTCTGTTACCCCAGGACCAGAGCCCGTGTTGCTGGTGGCCATGCAGTCAGAGGTGTTGTCCTACGGCCTGCGGAGTGGGCACGAGGAGGTGCTGCTGGCCACTGACAAGGATCGTGTTGTCTTCTCGTTTGACTATGACCTGGTGGAGAGAAAAATCTTCTGGATGGACCTGGCCACAGAGAGCATCCGCTGGCATGACCTCAACTCGGGCAAGAAAGGCACACTAGTGAAAGGTGGGCTGTGACAGCGTGGGCTTAGCAAGGCTGGCCTCTCCATGGCTGTGTAATCTCCTGGTTGCAGTGGGGTGCCAGGCTGTGTTCCCTTGCATGGAAAGGTGCTGGTGGGAGCAAGGTTGGGAGGACCTGGAGCTCCTGGGGTGGAGGTGACCTGGGCTAGGAGCCTTTGACCAGAGGGTCATGTAGCTGTCACCCCACGGGTGATGACTTTTGGGTGTGTTGCAGGGGTGAGATCAGACTGTATAGCAGTGGACTGGATCGGGAGGAACCTGTACTGGACAGATGGGGCAGCAGGGCGGGTGCTGGCCACTCGGCTGGGGGCTACGTGGCGAGGGATACCGGAGTACACCGTGGTGATGGAAGGAGACCTGGATCGGCCCCACTCCCTGGTGCTCCAGCCTCTGGCAGGGTAAGACTGGGCCAGGAGGATGTGGGAACCTCCTTGCCATCCCCGCCCTGCCCCATTTTCCCCCACGGAGACAGGCAACAGGCGGGGGAATACTTGGGATGAACTTCATCTGGGTGCTGTTGAGGCTGTGTGACAGGGGAAGAAGGAGCCCAGGCACCTGCCCCTGCCCTGGATGGAGGTTTCAGTGTGTCCCTGATGGGATGGAAAGCCTCATGCTGCTCTACTGGGACGACGCTGTGGCACATCCATGGGCCAGCACCTCTCTACCCACCAGGTTGCTGTACTGGTCGGAGGTGGGGAGCCACCCACGGCTGATGGAGGCCACCATGGATGGGAGTCGGCGGCATGTTCTGCTGGCCCAGGGGCTGGGCTGGCCCACAGCATTGGCCCTCGACCTCTCCACCTGGAGGATCTTCTGGCTGGATGAGAAGCTGGGGAGCATCGGTTCTGCACGTCTGGATGGCACCAGTGTGAAGGTGTGTGGTGTGGCTCTGGTGATGGGGCCATGATGGCGTCCGGGGTGGGTACTCATAACCTCTCTGCCAGGTCCTGCAGCTGGACTGGATCCAGAGCCCCTTCGCGGCGGCTGTGTGTGAGGGGCAGCTCTACTGGTCAGAGAAGAAGACATGGTCTGTGCAGCAGGTGGACAAGGCTAGCGGCAAGAACAGGACTGTGCTGCTCAAGCGACATGGGCAGCCTCATGGCCTCCAGGTACCTCCCTGGGGGAGCTCTGAACTCTGCCACAGCCCTACCATCCTCTGAGTGAGGAGCCGTTGGGAACTGCACACCCATCCCAGTGGTCCTTGGGCAGCAAACCCTGTAGTCAAGGGCCTCTGGTCCTATTGGAGCTTCTCTGCCTCACCGCTGTGCCCACGGCTGGGCTGTGTCTGGGCTTTAAGATCATGGCATGGTGCTGAGCCTGCCCTTAGAGTCACAGAACCATTAAGGTTGGAAAAGACCTCTCAGATCATCAAGTCCAATCTCCTCACAGGTGATGCACCCAGCCCTGCGCCCCACAGCCTCCAACCCATGTGTGGCTCGTGGCTGCTCCCACCTCTGCCTGCTGAGCACCAGGCATGCTGGGCAGTGCCGCTGCCCTGCTGGGCTGACACTGGCTGAAGATGAGACCACCTGCCTGCCCCTCCGTGACTCGGCCTTTGCTCTCCTGGTGTCACCAGCAGCTGTGGTGCAGGTACTGTCCTCTGGAGCCAAACTGGGGGCTGCTGTCCTTGCCACTCTCAGTAGAGTGTTGTCCCTATCCTCAGTGCTGCCTCCTTCCTACAGGTCTACCTGAAGGACCTGCCCATCACAGCTGGATCCCAAGGCCTTCCCCAACACCGGGCCCTGCCCTTGGCCAAGGTGGGACGCCTGACAGCCATCGACTATGCAGTGAAAGACAAGAGCCTGTACTTTGCGGAGGTGGGGGGCGACTCCATCGGGCTGCTGCGCCTGAAGGACTGGGGCCGGCTGTCCTGGAAGCAGGCGGTGGCTGTGGAGGGCACGGTGACATCCCTGGCCATGGACTGGCTGAGTGGGAATTTGTACTGGATTGGGGGGCAGCCACCCAGCATCCATGTGGCAGCTCGTGGGGGGCGGTGGGCCCTGGTGCTGCTAAGCAAGGGGCTGGAGGGCGCTGCCTCGCTGGCGCTGTGCCCTCGTGCCTCCACCATGTGCTTCGTCACGGCGGACAGCAGCCACAGGGCCAGTGCCGCGGTGGAGTGCACGGCCATGGATGGTACCAGCCGCAGGGCGGTCTGGAGGAGAGCCCGGGATCATCCTTCTGGCCTTGCCTTTGGAGGTGCTGGCACCCGGCTGTACTGGGCAAACCGTGGTGAGTGTGGGCTGAGCTGGGGCACTGCTGGGGAGAGCAGTGGTGGAGGTGGTCTGGTCTGCAGGGCACAACCCAGCATGGCCCCAGGGGCAGCCTGGAGCCCTCTGGCCCCACATCTGATGTTTCCACATCTCTGCCCTGCAGAGAGAGGCACCATCAGCAGCGTTGAGCTGGACGGATCCAGCTTTCGGGTGGTGCGGGAAGGGCTGCACGGCCTCTCACTCTTTGCCATCGGAGAAGGCTTTCTGCTCTGGAGCACGACCTCAACCAACGGTGAATGCTTTTGCTGTGGTTTGTCCAGCTCCTCCTACTGCACCAGGACATGGAGGTCCCTGTCAGCCCCTTTCCCTCCCTGGGGTCAAGGGCAGGTTGGGGTACCCCACTTCCCACCCTGGGCATCCTTACAGGAGGAGATGGAACCGTGCTGACCCCCATGTATCTCCAGGCACCAGCAAGATCTGGCACAGTCGGCTGGAGCGGGCTGAGAGCTGGTGGTTCCCAATGGAGCAGGAGTTGGTAGCCATGAGGATTTACAGCCCATTCTCGCAGGAAGGTGGGTCTGGGGCTGCCCCAGCCCAGGGCATCAGTGGGGTTGAGCACACTCCCAGATTGACCCTGCTAACCCGTGCTGTTTTTGTCAGGCACCCATGGCTGCAAGAAGAACAACGGGGGCTGTGCCCAGCTCTGCTTGCCCAACCCTGCAGGACGGCTCTGCCGCTGCGCCCCCGGCTACCACCTGGTGCGTGGGGTGGCTTGCACACCCGCACTGTCCTGCCCAGCCCCGCTCCAGGCCTGCCCTGACCACCAGAGCTGCATCTCCAGAGAACAGGTGTGCGATGGGCGTCCCGACTGCATTGATGGCTCCGATGAGTCCAACTGTGAGTACCTGCCGTCTCCACCAGTTTTGGAAGGGAGAGTCTCACCTGGGTTTCTGCTGATCTATGCCTATTCCTCTAGGCCCCTCCGCGGAGGTGGGGACACAGGTCACCACAGTGGCACCGTCAGGGATGTCCCATGTGGAACCAGCCTTACCCGCACCTGCACCTAAGCCTCAACAACCTATCCCCAGCTTGCCTGCAGCCCCTGGCCCCCGGAAGCATGGAGAGCATTTTCTGGTACCCCCCAGCACCGAGGGGGTGCTGGGGGCCAGTGAGACGTGTAACCTGCGTGGGGAGTGCACCATTGAGGCCGGGCGAGTGACATGCCACTGTGCCTTGGGCTACCGCGGTGACTACTGCGAGGAGGCCGAGGTGCAGCCTGTTGCAGGACCTATTGCCCTGGGGGTAGCTGTGCTCCTGCTGCTTGCTGCCGCTGCTGTGGGGGCCTTGGCCTACATGCGAAGGCGGGACAGGCGGAGAAGGTGAGCTCTGGGGATGGAGAGGGACAGGGTCTCCCTGTTCAGGGATGGTGTGGTG